GGGGAAGAGCAGCGGCGGACGGCGGAGAGATGGGGGCGGAGAGATGGGCTGACGGTGGAGAGCAGCGGCGGAGTGATGGGCGGAGGAGAGCAGCGGCGGACGGCGGAGAGCAGCGGCAGACTGCGGCGACGGAGGCAGAGGGGGAGGACCCGGCGGAGGGGGGGCGCCGGCGGAGGGAAGATTGAAAATGAGAGAGAAGAAATTCAGAGAATTGGGGAAAAGGGGATTAGGGCCCGACTATAATTCGTTTTGTTGCGACGATTCCTACCCAATCGTCGCCCAAAAAAGATTTCAAACCAATCCTGTAGCGACGTTTTAAGGACTTTCGTCGCTAACCAAAAAAACAATTAATTAGCCATGCGACGTTTCTGTAAGCAACGTCGCTATAGAAAAGCGAGATTTTTTCCATAATTATTTTTGCGACGATTAAAACACTATCGTCGCCAATAACATATATAATTCTTTTAAAAAAGTATTTGTCCTGCGACGAATCCACTCGTTTCGTCGCTACAAAATAAATATAATTTAATATTTCCTCTTTATTACGCTACGTTTATCCTTATTCGTCGCCAAACCAATAAATTTTTTTTTTCACAATTGCACTCGCGACGAATACGTAATATTCGTCGCTAAGGTAAAAAAATAAATTGCAAAAAATATTTTTCTTGCGTCGGTTATATAAAAACGTCGCTACGAGAGTGCTTCATTATTTTTTTTTTTTCACTTTGCGACGGTTTGTTATTATCCGTCGCAAACTGGCGACGATTGATCTTATCGTCGCGAGGTATTCCATCGAAATCTTATTTTCCGATATCTTGCGACGTTTGTTAGTCAAAATGGTCGCAAACTAGCGACGATTCCGGAATCGTCGCCAACATAAACGTCGCAAGTGAGCTGTTTTGGCCTAGTGTCTCTCTCTCTCTCAGCTGCTTCTCTTTTCTCTCTTCTCTCTCTCTTCTCGCCTCCTCTCTCTCAGCCGACTCCTCCCATCCCTCTCTCTTACAGGTAAGGTATTTATTTATAGGGGTATTTGCACTCGGCTCCCCTGTGAAATCTCTAATTGGCAAAAAAACCCCTCGGATAAAACAATTAGCAAATACCCCCCTATGAAAGGAAGTCAATGACAATAAGGACCCTACGAGCGAATCGTGGGATACACTCGCGGTTCATGCAGCTGGGCGTGCGTTTTAGGACATTTTAGGACAGGAAAAGACATAAAAACCCTTTGTAAGAGGAAAAAAACTCAGATTGATTTAATTATAAATAATCTAAAGTTATAGGACTAAATTGTAATTATCAAAATTGTCAAAACAAATATAAAGAATACAGGAAAAAAAAAAAAGAATAAATCGTCTTCTTCCCCAAATAATTGAACCACTCCCCTTCCTCCATCCCCACCCCCCTTCCTCCATGGATTTCAACATCATCTTCTCCTTCATCAACTCTCTCTGAATCCAGCAACTGCCCTCTCGCAATCTCCACCCGGAAGCCGCGGACGCCTCGGAAACGGCCGAACCAGACTTACAACGAGGCGGCGGCGATTCTCTTCACGGCTTACCCTAAGATTTTCCCAACCAAAGCAAACCCCTGCAAATTCACCAAATCGCATGGCGGTAATGAAAAGAATCCGTTTTTATTCGAGACGTCGGACTTGCTTATGCCGTTTCGGGTTATGGACGACGGTTCGGAGTATTTGCTGCATCCGCCGCCGCCGAAGGGGTTTAATTTGGTGGAGAAGGTGTGCCGGAGTCCTGGGGAGATCAATTCGCAGGGGAATTCCACCTCTGAAATATGGAGATCTTCTCCGACGTTGCCCAGCGACCGCCGCCGCCGCGAGTTCAGATCTTCTCTAAAGTCGTCGCCAATCGAGGTCCGGCGAGCTACACTTCGCCGAATTCTCCGACGAATAGCAAAGCCCATCGCAAAATCCTCTCAAACACAGCTGCCGTTGCAGCCGCCGTTGAGCTATGAGCTGAGAAATTAAAATTGAAGTGTGCGTTGTTTTTTTTTTTTCAATTGGAGAAGAGGGCTAAATTGAAAGTGCTAGGGACTGAATTGAAAATTTTGAAAATTTCATTTGAGTCATAAAATTCTAGAGGTTGGATATATTTATCTGAAGGGCATTTTTGTCATTTCGCGTAAGTCAACGAGTCAGTGCACATAAAGGGGCGGTGGGCTGACTAAAACACAACATAGGGGGTCATATGCTAATTTTTTTTTCCGGGGGGGTTTTTTGCTTCCGAGAAATAACACAGGGGGGTCTATGCAATTAACTCTTTATTTATATGTACTTTGACAAAAAAAATTTGCACGGGTTTACCTAAACTCGTTAATTCGTTGCACGGTGCCCCATAAACTCAATTTTCCGGCAATTTTGGACGGAATGTTATATCATATGCAATGCACGTGTGATTTTCAAGGGTAAATTTGTCCATTCACTAAAATTCTATGTATTAAATATAAATTAATCACTAAAAAAAAAAAAAAAAGAAAATTGTCATCTTCTTCCCCACCAACCTCCCAAACCCATTCCCATGCCAAAAGAACAGAGATCATTAACGAATGTAGCAGTTAAACTTCATCTCCATCCATAACTAGATCTTCAATCAATTCTAACAGAGGGCTCGTGGTCTGCGTGCGACATCACCTAAAAATCTTAACAAACCAGTGGCCACAACACAGTCGCACACATGACACAACATACATTACCAGATAATTATTTATTATTAAAATATGCAAATTTCTCTCTCTAAGAAGAAATTTTCATCTTCATCTTCATCTTCAGAACATACATACATTTTCATTTTCTTTTCATCTTCACATGACACAACATACATTTTCATTTTCTTTTCATCTTCATCTTTGAATGTCTGTATCCCCAAATTGAAATCCTCCACCACAAACGCACACACGCGCTATGGCGTCTCTTCTCACCAACGGGATTTCGCCCTTCTCCTCACAAACCGTCTCTATTATACTTCCACCCCTCTCTCAATTCCACCGTCTGCAGAAACCCTAATTCCAGAACCTCACTCAAAATCAGGGCCGCCATCTTGCAAAAAATCAGCCCTCTTTTCGCCCCAAGCAATCTCGCCCCATTTGAAGTGAAATTCAGGCCGAGAGAGAAGGAGAATTTCGACTCTGCTGGAGATGGAGATTAAATGGCAGGGGGAAAAGGGTGAACGCAAAATAGGGAAAATTGACTGTAGCACGGCTCATGGATTGAGAGTTTAGAGGTCGAAATGAAGGTAGGAAAGTCGGAGGTGAATGGTGATGATGATGATTTGCAGGTAGTTGGTGGTCGGCCAAGGGAAGAAGATACAATATTCCTCTTTTTTTTTCCTTCTTTTAATGATTAATTTATATTTAATATATAGAATTTTAGTGAATGGACAAATTTACCCTTGAAAATCACACGTGCAAATCACATGATATAACATTCCGTCTAAAATTGCCGGAAAATTGAGTGTAGGGGGCACCGTGCAACGAATTAACGAGTTTAGGTAAATCCGTGTAAATTTTTTTTGTTTAGGGGGCAAAGTGCAAAACGGCCATTAGTTTAGGATGCAAACTGCTTTTTACTCTAATTTACAAATACAAAGTATCGTAATAGCTAACAAGTGAGCCTCCTTTTTGCACGATGCAAACTGCTTTTTACTCTAAGTTACATCGTGTGTTGTGTTTAGGGGTGTAAATAAGTTGAATCGGCTCGTGAACTCGATGAATCGACCCGGTAGAAGCTCGAACTCAAAATCGAGTTTCTTGAGCTCGAGTTTCGTCTTAACTCTTAATTGTTCGTGAGCTTACAAGCCGGCTCGCGAGCTTTATTTTTATTGAAAGTTTAATATTTTACATATTATTTTTAATTTAAATAATATATAATAATATAAAATATATTAATAATAATATAAAAGTACAAATAACAATTCACAAAATATTAATTATAATTTATCATATAATTTGCAATCGTGTTATTATAATAAAATAAATAATAAAATAATAATAATATAAATATTTTAGAGAAAAAAACTCAAATGTGCCTGGGATCGAGCTCGCCAAAATCGGCTCGAGCTCGCCAAAACAACCTAGCTCGGCTCATTTACATCCATAATTGTGTTGTTATCCGTGTATAATCCACATGTATTGGGTGAATCCAATGTTGTAGTAGATACACTCCTGCTGAAGTCATCAAGCGTAGGACCAATGTTGTTAGAATCAGACTGAACCGGTCGGTCGGACTGATTCGATCGTGACCCGGCGATGAATTCCAATCTCAATTCCAAAATTTTCGGAATCTAATAAATTCATTCCAATTCCAAAAGCTCCGGGAATTTCGGAATTTGGAAAAAAAATCAAAAATAAAGTAAGTTTTAAAATTTTAAAACTTAGCTAAAATTTCCTGAAATTTCATAATTTTCAAAAATAACAACATCCACGTCGACAAAAGTAAAACTAATAACTACTAAATTTGAGTTCAAAAAAATAAATAAAAATAAAGTACATCATAATATCCAATAAAACTTCTAACGAAAATTCAATATGTCAATTTCCTAAAACAAAACATAGATCAACTTAATGTTTCAAAAAAAAAAAAATTAAAAAAAAAACTGAAAATAAGCATTATAATATATATTATTTATAGGTGTACTTTTCGGAAAAATAATCAGAATTTTTTGAAATTAATTTCGAACGAAACTTTTTGGATCAGAACAGGCGGAAATTGGAACTTCCGTTCCAACTTGCACCCCTAGGATGATATGGTGACTGATTGTTGGATTAGAAGAATAAATAATGGGAGTGTATAAGCAAAAGAAACATAGTAAAAAATGGGGAGATGTAGATAAAAGTGAAAATAATAGATGGAAGATTAAAAATATAAAGAAAATAGTATTATTAAAACATTAAAATCAATAAAAGAATCACATTAATAAAGATCAAAAATCCGGTTGAACCGGTTCGACCCTATAAAGCCATGACCCAAATGGTCGTCCGGTTCCATAGCCGGTCCGATTCTGATAACATTAAGCGCTACCATCTTTCCATACTTCGTGTTATGGCTATAAACCATTTTAACCATTTTAATTCAGTCAAAAAGTTGATCAACTTTACCTTAGTTAATTTAGATTCTTTAATTGTCCATGTTCGGTCATTTAATGACTAACAATCTCTACATAGACTCACTTTTTTCCGATTTAATATGTGCAGGTACAACTATTTATGAAGACTCATTCGGTTGCTCATGTGACTAGCGTTTCTGGTAATATTTGTAATAAAAATTTCTCTTTGATTATTGTTTTAATCTCACTATTTTCTTCTCATTTTTTATTTACGATTCAATTTTATTTGCAGTTATCATTACACAGTTCCTAGTCGGCTTAGCATCTTTGTAAGTTATTTGCATTTTGTTTTTTATATTTCGTCACTAATAATTATAATGTTATTTGTATTAATTTAGTATTTTTTTTATATAGACCTAGTTCCTGGTACATCTACCGGGGCCAGTCAAGCGTGGGGTATCCTTTGATACCTCACTTGATCGAGTTGTTCCCCTCTGCTATGCTGATGTACTACGACATTCTTAAGGGAGTTGCAAAGCCTATAGAGATCGGCTTGGATGTCTTCCGGTGCATGGCTGAAGTCGTGTACATCATCACGTACATGTACTTTGCTGTGCACAATCATAGGGTAAGCATCAACTATCAACACTTTTTGTATAAGATAGCTAGTTCAATAATAACTAATTAACAATTGTTGTATATATTTGTTTTTCAGATTCGAGCTATAAAATTGGCGAGCATTTTGGTAGTATGGTTAGCTGCATGTACCATCGCACCGTACATCTGGAGTAGAGGCGATCTGAGGATTGAGATCGTAATTATCATTTATACCGTTGGGTGGTTGGTGGCGATCTTGGGACCGTTAGGCCACACGGTAAGATCCTTACTTTATTTGCTAAATTAAATTTCATATAATCTATTTATTCACCTGTTATTATCTTTTGCAGCGGGAACTAATCACGACACAGAATCTGAACATGTTTCCAATCGTTCTAACATTCTTCCAAACACTAGATGGGATAGTATATTCGGTAAATGCACTCATCTCACAGAAAACGACATTGTTGGTAAGTAAAAATAAATATGAAGTGTAAGTTAATACTAAAAACTTATTTTAAATTATTAATCTATCATTTTAATTTACAGATTCTAAATGTCATTGGAGCAGTTCTCGGAGTGGTACAAATCATGTTGTATCTATATTTCTATATTAGACAACATGGTTTGCCCCAGCTACAGGAGACCGACATAGAGATGCAGCAGATTTTACCCGAGTCGGATTCAGACTCGGATTCAGAGCTACACGTGCTTCCATCTCCACCGGCCGAGCAGGGTTTGCCTCAACTGGAGGAGGCCGATATAGAGACACAGGAGATTCTACCCGAGTCGGACTCAGACTCGGATATAGAGCTGCCTCTGCTTTCATCTCCACCGGTCGAGCCTATGGCTTCTCTACCGGCCGAGGAAGTGCCAGTGGCCGAGCCTATGGCTCCACCACGAGTCGAGGACGTGGCTCCTCCACCAGCTCCTCCAATGCCCGAGGCGATCATCTTCTTTCTTGCATTGGCTATTGTGATGACATTTGGGAAATTGTTTCTTTCCTAGATTCTAGTTTGTGTGTAAACATGGTCTTGTTGTGTTTGGTTTTAGACTTGTAGTTTGACTATGTTGTAATTCAATTTAGTTATCTTAATTTATTTCGTTTTCTTTGTGTGTTACTTCATATAATCTTTTGTACAGTTGAGTGTTGATTGACAATACGAGCTTTTATGTCGACTAAAGAATGTACGGACCTCATAAAAGAATCAAGAAAAGAAACAAATGCAGAAAATGATTTTATAAAAACATCCCTTGCTACTCTCCATCACAAACAAACACAAGTTTCCAAATGGATACAGTGACTAGGCTTAACCGATCATTATCGATTTCAAGTTACAGTCTTGATAACCTCTTGAAAACCCATAATTATTGGAAAATGGAACATGCCAACGCAAATCAACACGGCGTCCGCGTGGAGAAGTTTTTCGGACGTGGGCCCCGTTTCGGACTTTATGAGGGTGGCCTGGGACCGTCGTGGTCGTAGATATGGTCGTTCTCTTCTGTTTCCGTAACTCTACGTATGAACAAGTTTTATATGCCTCCATAACTGGTGTATAGTCGAATATTTGTCTGAGCTACTAGAAAATCTTGTTCCGAGTGGAAAACAAGGTACGTACTCTACTATCATATTGACATTAGCAAAACAGCTTAACCATTTGTGTAGTGTTTCAAGAGAAATGTGTCTTGAAAAAGACCAACAAAAGGTAATGAAAGACAATATAAATAAAATGTGGGAAGACAAGTATGCCTAACTTCATATCGATTGAATGATAATAGGTCGATCAACTTTTAAAGACAATTGAATCCTCAACACCCTGTTTTTTAAAATCAACCAAAGTTAGAGCACAAATTGCAAAAGTAGAAACGGAATCTCTTAAGCAAAAACTTACTTGACATTCTACTGATTGAATACTCTCACATACAAAGATTTATTCGGACAAACCTGATAGTATTTATTCCAAGATCACGTTCCATGTCGAGCGGTGTAGGGTCGAGATGATCACAAATGGTACTGATATCTCCGATAATATATGCGATGCAACTTTCAAGATACCAATTCGCACTCGGAAGAATATTGAGTTGAGCCAACAAGATAGTCCCGAAATTCACAAACTCCACCCCCTCCGAAACACTCACTTCATACCTAAACAGTAAACACCTAAACGATGTTCTATTAGAAAAAAAATTGACAAGAGACTTCTGGATTGATTTAATTTAATCAACACTACGGAAATAAGCAAAACTAAGGAAATATATATATATATATATATATATATATATATATATATATATATATATATATATATATATATATACTAGTAACGAGCACCGCGCAATGCGCGGTGCCCTGCTCGATGCCTGTTCCCGACTATTCATGTCAGATATTAAAAGATCGTTTTATGTCCAATGGTTAAAGATTGTTTTGCATAAGAAATAATGTGGACGTTTCCGACTATTTATAAACACAAAATTTTGAAACATTACAGAAGTAAGACAAAAATTGCCATCAGACAATAAATTGCTATCTCAACTGTCAAATGTATTCAAAATGTATATATAGCAAAAGAGAAGGGAAGTTTTTTTAAAGCACCAAATGTCCTACTCCTACCTCACCCTAGAGTTGGCCTTTTTAGTTGGTTGCAACAAACGAGGAGATGACACATCAAAATATACATGTAATTAATTAGTGCATAATTCCAAAAAACAAAATAGACAGCAACAATAAAAATGAAATGTCGATTGGTGTATAAATAATCACCTTGTTGAGTCCTAGGTCACATCAACAATTCCATTCCATGAGGCGAACTGCAGGAAGATCATCAATTGGTGTATAGAAAAGAAGCGTATAGTTAATGCCAGTATATTTACTGGCTCGCACTAGTAAATATGAAGCTAAGCGTCCATGATAATTTAAATAAATTTTATTCAATTATCAGACTGACTCTCAAGATCAAATGATCTAGAGATTGAGGGAAGCCCAAAAAATAGCTGTATATATTGCTCTTTTCTCGTATAACAGAAACATCTACAAAAATAGAGATAAGGCAAAAAATCTACCGCATTCCTTCCTTCTTCAGTTCTTAGCACAACCCTCACAGTACCTAAACACTTTAATAGAGGAGCAGTTAGAGAAGAGGAGAATGTAAAAGGTAAGAATAACTAAAGTATTAATAAACCCAGAGGCATGAAAAATAAAGTCCTTATCACAAAATGAACCAAAACAGCTGAAGACAAAAGAAATGCAAAAAAAAAAAAAAAAGCAATCCTTATGGCCATAGAGCAAACACACCCTCTCCACATCTACCATACACATATTCCACCATGTCCATATGGTCATTATTCGGAAGAAATTTTCTGAATATTATAAAACATATGAACATGTAGTCGGGAAAATTAGGCAAAATATTATCCAACATGCAGATTCTCTTATCATAACGGCCCTTCTTACCAAAGTACACAATTAGTAGGTTTACGAAGAAACTATCGATCAGAATGGCCCTTCTTCGAATTGAATGTTAACACACAAATAAATAAAGGGTTTCACCAAAACAGGCAACATTTTGCTGTGGAAGACATGTAGTCACAAAAGATCTATGTGTGACTTTCTATATGACCGATTTTCGGAGTGGTCTACCTTTGGATACGTGTTTTGGCCGATTAATCTGTTGGGTTTGGGAATAAAATAAACATTTAAAAGAGAATCAATAGGCCACCACGTTTAATGAAATAGTTCAGTATGCCACAAATTAACGAGAAAACCAACCGAATCAAAATGCCGCAATGTCTAAAGAGGAAAACTCAACTTCTACTGTAACGAAAAATTTAGAGAACAAGTGGTCGGGGTTCGGAAAACTGACAATTCAGAGATAGAGAATGGATGCTGCCTCGAATTGTACCAAATCCATATAAAAAATAAAAGATAAATACTACAAAGTTTCTACGAGCAACAAAACAACGGGATGCTACATTATGGGTTCCCAAATGCGTCAACCAATTACCCCATGTTATTAAGATGCAATGAAATGATTATACAAAGCTTTACAGCAGATATCATAAAATTCCTGAAATAAACAATTAATATGTTAATTGTATTTTATCTTATACCTCTTAAGCCCATCCAATCCATCAATGGCATCGGTAGAGCTCAACGCCTCAGCGGTGTGCCTTTCTCTCCCCTCTCCCCTCTGATTGGCGAGGGCAGTGGCACGTTTTAGGGACGTTTTAGGGACTGGAGGAGGCGAATTTAGGGTCCCGCCGCAGCAGCATGTGCAGCTCCGGCAGCGGCTGAGGCGACGACGACCTCTTGCGAAAACAATCATTCTCACCGAGCATTAATTGGAATTTCTCCAAACGCCGTCGTGTTTCAGGCAACGGTTTGACAAAAAAATTAGACCTGCTGGCAGACGCCGGCGGGCATCGAACGGAGGTGCAGGCCTTAGAGTCGTCGATTGCGGCGGCTGAGGGCGAAGAATTTGAGGCGGTGGCCGACTTTGGAGAGGAATGAAGAGGGTCAACAATACTAGGCGAGAAAAGAGGAGAAAGTGAGAGGGCCGATGTACACGGTCGAGCTGCTCGCAAAGTAAATGGAAAACAAAATAACGTGAGAATCTGATTGGAGGGGAGAACCGAACGACAGCGTTTAGATATTAAATGGGCCAAAAAAAAGGCAGAAAGAAAAGGCTGTAAAAATAAAGGACCGATCCACATATATATATATATATCAGTGTTCTAAAAATCGGTCGAGGCGGCCGATTAATCGGCCGCCGAGGCGGAGGCGGTCCAAAACCTTTACGATTTTAGTGTAAAGGTTTGAAAAATCGGTTTTTTGCCTGTGAGGCGGTTTGAGGCGGTCCGAGGCGGTCTGAGGCGGTCCGAGGCGGTTTGAGGCGGTCCGAGGCGGTCAAACCTTTAAGGCGGGTCAAACTTCGGTGGCAAAAATCGGCAAAAAATCGGTCAAAAATCGGTTTTTTTTTTTTTTTTTTTTTTTTTTTTTTTTTTTATAAATCAAAATAAAAGTTGGGATTTTAATAAAAAAAAAATGAGTTTATACTTTATTTTGTTTATGTTAATTATTATTGTTAAAGAACTAATGATGTATGCCAAGAATGTATGTAAATTCAAAAAAAATGCCTTTTTATTTATATTTTATAAGGATATTTATGTATTATGATCTTATTATTATTAAACGTTTATTATGTTATTAGAATATATAAATGATCGAGATATAACTATGTTTAAATATTTTTTATCTATGTTTTGAGTATTTATAAATAATATCTACAAATATATTATATTAAATTTTAAACACCGATTTATTTCCGATTTATCACCGATTAATCACCGCCGCACCGATTAATCGTGAGTCGGTGCCTGACCGACTCGGACCCGATTACCGATTTTTACAACCTTGATATATATATATACTAGTGTAGAGCACCGCGCAATGCGCGGTGCCGGGTGCCTCGGGTGGATACAAGAACTTATCGTATTATGTATTTTCGACATACTTTCATAAATCGATTTTTAGGCTGCATTTTTTTTTATCTTTTTTTTACGATTAGGTAAAATTTGGGTGGAGCGGCTGGGAAGTTGGAGTAAGTATAGGGGTGATTCTGCAATTTTCAAAACTGTGTCGGACGGGAGGTGGATTTGTTGTCTTAAATATCAACAAATCGATCAAATTTTACGATTTATGATTTATGAAAACTTTAAAGGTTTATATTATTTATGATAAACTTGTGATAATAAATGTGGCGAATATTTTGGATATTGAAAGACAGATCCACTTTGGGGTCAAATTTGTAATTAGGGTGGAGCTGCTAGGAATATCGAGTAACTATAGGGGTGATTCTTCAATCTTCCCAACTGTTTCAGCCAGGGATGTGAATTTTCGGAAATTACAACTTGATTTCCACTTGGGGGGGCATTTCCGGTTTGGAGACTTTAAAATGGTATATAATATATGGACCAAAATAGTAATTATAACACGTTTATTATAAATAATATAATAAATTATTGTTTTCTTAAATCGTAAATCGTAAAGTTTGATCGTTTTGTCGATATTTAAGATTTATTTTAACATTTGAATCGACTTAGGTATGAATAATTGAATCGTAAGATTTGAATCGTAAATCAAAAGATTTTACACTCGGTATTGCGAATTTTCGTAAATGAGTCACACGCGATTATAGTCGAGCAGTCGAAGCATACTGTGTTGGTGGCATATATTTCGGATATTGCATGAGAGATCCACTTTGGTGTTAAATTTGCAATTTGGGTGGAACGGCTTGGAAGATGGAGTAAGTATAGTGGTGATTCTGCAATTTTTAAACTTGTTTCAGTGTGGGGAGTGGATTTCTAGAAATTACAAATTGACCCCCACTTGGGGTGCATTTCTTGTTTAAAGACCAAAAAAAAAATTGTATGTAACATAGGGACCAAAAATCAGAAAATTTGATGGATTAGTTTATATTTAAGATTTATTTTAACATTTGAAGCGACATAGATATGAATGAATTGAATCGTACGACTTGAATCGTAAACCATAAGATTTTATGCTCGGTATTGCGAATTTTCGTAAATAAGTCACACACGATTATAGCTGATGAGGATTAGAAGCAAACTGCGTTGGTGGCGGATATTTCGGATATTGCAAGAGAGATCCACTTTGGGGTTAAATCTGCAATTTGGGCGGAGCGGCTGGGAATATGGAGTAAGTATATGGGTGATTCTGCAATTTTCAAAACTGTTTCGGCCAGGGAGGTGGATTTCTAGAAATTACAAATTGACCCCAACTTGGGGTGGATTTCTTCTTTAAGGACCAAATTAAAAAAAAATGTATGTAATATATAGGGACCAAAAATCGTAAAATTTGATCGATTAGTTGATATTTAAGATGTATTTTAACATTTGAATCGGCATAGATAAGAATGAATTGAATCGTAAATCATAAGATTGTATGCTCGTTATTGCGAATTTTCGTAAATGTGGC